TTCCCCATCATTTGAAAGCTCTTTAAGTGACCCCCCTCATCAGCCCCTCCAATAGGGGATTTCCCAGAATGTTCCCATGGCCCAAGGAAGCCTCCTCCTTAGCTGGTTGTGGTTCATGACAGAAGTGTCACTGGGCGACAGGTAACGCCACAGGCGAAGCTGAATCGTAAACATTGGCACGAGTTTGAAGAGAGAAGATGGATTCAGTAAGTTCGTGGGACTGAGGCCTCCAGATAATTATCAAATTTTATCAGGTTTATTCAATTAATTTTTTGTTTTGGTGGTACTGGAAATTAAACCCACTATCACTGAACTACATCTGCAGCCGTTTTTGAAAAATGTTTATGGTGAGACGGTCTCACTGAGTTTCTGAGGCTGGCTTCCAACTTGCCTCAGCCTCCCCTAGTTGCTGGGATCACAGGCATGCACCACCATGCCTGGCCCAAATGATTCTTGATCATTCCCAGAGAGGGAGCCTCCTGCATCTTCCTTCAAATGTGGGTTGGACTTAGCGCCTCACTTCTAATGAACAGAACAATGCTGCAGATGAGACCATAAAAGGTAGTGCTTACCTTTCCCTGGGTAGAGACTAGTATGCGGATACGCTCAGGTAGCAAATTGGCAATCTGAAATGTTTGAGAGTTAAAAAGAGCCTTCAGATCCTCTGATTCTGTGGGTTTCAACATTAGCTGCCTGTCACATCCCCTGGGGAGCCTTTACCAAGCCCATGTCCAGGCTGCACCCCAGAACTATGAAATCTGAATAGGCATCGTACGCCCATTGCTAACGCCCAGGGGATCCCAGGGTATGGTGAAGGTTGAGGTTCATTGATTTGATCCAGTCTTCCTGTTTTAAATTGAGGCAACTGGGAATCAACAGGGAAAGTGAATCACTCAGGGTCACCAAACCAGGACCAGGATCTCGGATCCCCATCCCCGGTAACCACCAATGGAGTCCACCATGGACCCTCACTCTGTCTGGAGGAAGGTGTGGTTTCTAGATAGCTCTCTTCCAGAGAAGCTGGCCAGGTGAGCCACCTTGGGGTCCTCACGCAAGTGTTTCAGAGTCACCAATACCAAGATCCGGCTTTCTCTTGGGAGACCACAGGGTGCTGAGGACTCTCAGTAGTCTCTGGAGACTTTTGCCCACCATGCTCTGAAGTCCCACAGAGGAAGCCTTCGGGTGTGGTAGGAGCACAGGCCAACCACGCCCCCTTGGCCCTCCCTGGACCTGGGTCCTTGCATCCACTACTTGACTGTCTAGCAGAAGCCCCACTTTCCCTCCCTCTTCCCGCTCTCTGAGCTCTGGGTTCGCAGCCCACGCGGGCAACTTAAGGGACTGGGTGTCCACCGTCTGTTTTCCTGCCTTTTTAGTCATGCGAGTCCTTTCCAGGGCAAAACTGTCCCCAGGGGTGTCAGAGTGGACTGAAGAGACAGCAGGCAGCAATGTGGAGGGACGGGGGCCTCAGATCAGCCACTTCCTCCCGCAAGGGAAGTGCAGCCTGAGCTCTGTGTAAGAGTCTGACTGCTGCACGGCCCCAGGGGGCTGGCAGGGCGGGTTCCTCTGGGGCCCTAGCAGGAAGCCGTCTGGCTTCCCAAGGCAAAGACAAGTGTCTTGTCACGGGTGGTTGTTTTCTGGTCAGGGGTCGCGGGCAGTGGTTATGCCGCTTTCTAGCCCTCTGGGATGCGCAGGGCTGGGGTGGGCAGAGGAGAAATCTAGAGAGAGCGCTGGGCCCTGCCTGGGAGGGAGGAAGGGCCTGCTGTCACTTCCCGAAAGCCAGGCCTGCCTCTAGGTGGCGAGGTCAGAGCCGGCCCACCCGCCCCTCCCTCCTGCCTTGGGGTTTGCCCAGGCTCTTCAGAGCACCAAACTTACAGTAAATGTTGTCACCAGTGGAAACTCTCAGAGGGGGCGAGGAAAAGGGCTCGAGCAAGGGGCCAGGGCTCCCGGCCCCCAGTTCCCGTCTTACCGACACCCCCCCCTCAGCTACTGCTTCATCTTACCTTTCCGTAAAGGGGGGATGACCTCCTCTGGGATGTGCCAGGAAACAAGCAGTGGTGCAGGGAACAGGTTGACCTGTCCCAGCTTCTGGTGTCCCCCATCTCCATTCTAGAGAGGGGGGTTTCCTTGCACTGACCTAGGCACACTTTCTAGCTAAGAGCCTCCTTCAGGAAATGTCAGGCTCAGGCTGAAAGTGTTTGCATTTGTCCTTCAAAACAGATGAAAGGGCTGGGGTTGTGGCTCAGCGGTGGAGCACTTGCCCAGCTCGCACAAGGCCCTGGGTTCAATCCCCAGCACCCCGAAAAAACCCCAAAACGAAAACAGACAAAAACTTGGATGATGGGCAAGCCCGCATGTGTATGCTCTTCTGCGGCTTAAAAAAGAACCCATGGGGGATGTGGGGCCAGATGATGGGCAGCGTAACTGACGAATTCCATCTAGCTCTCTCATGCTCTCGATGGGTTATTTAGGGCAAACTTTAAAAGTCAAGTTATTTTACATTTGATCACCGCCCACCAAATTTCTGAGCCAACTTCTTCATGCCAGCAATTGATGTTGTTAGCCAGTCAATCAACAAACACTAGAGTCCATATGATGTGCCAAGTACTTAAATAGGCACTTTGAATAAGTGCTTGGATATTTAAAACAAAAAATTTTGGGGGAGGGGGCCGGGGATTGAACTCAGGGGCACTTGACCACTGAGCCACATTTCTAGCCCTATTTTGTATTTTACTTAGAGATGGGGTCTCACTGAGTTGCTTAGCGCCTAGCTTTTGCTGAGGCTGGCTTTGAACTTGCAATCCTCCTGTTTCAGCCTCCTAAACCACTGTGATGACAGGCGTGTGCCACCACGCCCAGCCACTTAAAACAATTTTTAAAAATATTTTTTAGTTGTAGTTGGACAAAATACCTTTATTTTATTTATTTATTTTTATGTGGTACTGAGGATTGAACCCAGGGCCTCACACATGCTAAGCGAGCACTCTACCGCTGAGCCACAACCCCAGCTTAAAACAAATTTAATATCACATTTAATGAGGGTTTTCAAACTTGCCTGGTCATTAGAATGAACTGGGATACTTGTTGAAAACTCAGATTTCTAGACCCCTGCCCTCCAAATCTCAAACTCACTAACACCCCAGTCTCTAGATTTCAGGAAGGATTGTAACTATGGCTTTTTTTTTTTTAATTGAGCCCTCAAATTAATTGTGATATGGCAAGTTTTGGAAATACTGACCTAAACCAACTAGAACTAGAAAAGTAAAACCTGGTCACCAAATACCAGGTTGTTTTTTTCAACTGAAATGTAATTTATGGTATCTCCAGAGCCACACCCCCTTTCTTGGGGGTCTTAATTAGCAGAGTGGAACTGCAGGATTCAGTCACAGAAGGTGAACCTCAAAATCACTTTGGAAATGCATTCTCAGGCTTTCTGAAGGTGGGATTGTTTCTCAGTGATTGTTAATTAGTAGAGTTCAATTGTTGGCTTAATAATAATGTATTCAGGAATCAGCGCTCCTTAACCTGGGCTTTCCTGGTTAGCATATATCAGATGATTTCCCCGAGCAACTGGGAAAAGATTTTTCTGGACAAAGGACTTTGTTTCTACACAGGCTTCGGACACACTGAGTGGACAGGTCTTTTCCTCATTGCCCTTGTACAAAGTTTCACCCTCTGTGGTTTTAGTTTCCCACGGTCAACTGTGGTCTGAAAATATTAAGTGGAAAATTCCAAAAATAAGCGATTCAGACATTTTAACTAACTTTCATTCAAGTATGTCGTTATGATGGTTCTATTTTATTATTAATTATTGCTAATCTCTTATTGGGACTAATTTATAAATAAAACATATCATGTGTGCATATGTATAGAAAAAAGCATAGAGTATGTTGGGTGCTATGTAGAGTACTAGTAGGTGCTGAACACAATACATGTCGGGTTTTAGGAGCATCTTGGAACATATCCCCTCAGGGTAAGAGGAGACTAGTGTACTGAAAACCCTTTGGTGGGTAGATAGGAGTGGAATGAGACATGATAGGTGTCTTGGACCCTTTAATATTTACAGAGACCCTCATGTTATAGAATCTGGGCAGAGTAGACAGTCAGCCATGGAGTGTATTTATAAGACTGAATGGAAATGCTAGGAACGTTTGGGGAACATATTGCGTAAGGGGACGGAAAGAAGTGAATTGGTACAAGATGTTCTCACAAGCTGCTCTGCGTTTCCTCAGGATCCGGGCTGCCACACAATTCCCCTCGGCACATACTTGCCACTCTCAACCCACAGACGCTCAGGAGACCCTGTGTGCAGGCGCTGAGCTCAGGTGCAGCTTGGGTCTCCAGCACAACGGGGTTGAGAGGTGGTGAGGCCTTCAGGAGGGAATTAGGTCGTTAAGAGGGATCAACTCTTTTCCTACTTTCAGGGGATTGGACCGGTTTCCAAGTGTGGACTGTTATAAAGAAAGACTAGCATTCCCCTCTCTCGCCTACACGTGTCCCTTTGCCATTACCCACTTGCCCGTCCACTTTTCCTCTTTGCACAGAGCAGCATGGGGCTCGCACCAAAAGCCATGTGGGTGCTGGCATCATGTCCTCAAGTTTCCAGAACAGTGAGCTAAAAAAAAAAAAAAAAAAAAATCCTTTGTTCTTTATACATTACTCATCCTCAGGTATTTGATTATAGCAATAGAAAATGGGCTAAGGTTTCATTTTGTGAAATTGCTGTTTTTAAGAAGTCAAAACAGACAAGTATCAGCAATGTCAAGTGGGTCAATCCAGTATCTATGCGTATACACGTACACACGTACATACTAATACGGGTGCACACACAAACACAAACGTCCATGCACATGTGCACACTCTCACGTATGCACAAGAGCCCTCTGATGCCCTTCTCTGTGGCTGTGCTAGTGAGAAACGAATCTGGCCTCCCCCACCCTCCCCAGCCTGCCAGCCCTGCCTTCCCTGACCCTGATCACTAACGCTGGTCCTTCTCCTCACAGGAGAGTGAGGACCTGGAGAAGCAGAACGCAGCTCTGCGCAAGGAGATCAAGCAGCTCACGGAGGAGATGAAGTATTTCACGTCGGTGCTGAGCAGCCATGAGCCCCTGTGCTCGGTGCTGGCCACCAGCACACCTTCACCTCCCGAGGTGGTCTACAGCGCCCATGCCTTCCACCAGCCTCACGTCAGCTCCCCGCGCTTCCAGCCCTGAGCTTGCAGACCAGGGGAGAGCAGAGCCCCCCACCCCTGATGTCCTGCAGGCCTCAGGAGGGACACACGGACTGTGGCCAGACTGCCCTTGTCCCTCAGAGCCGACTCTCCACCTGGAGACCCAGTGACAGAGGCCCAGGCGGGGACTGGACGCAAGGACTGTAGTGGACAGAGGGGTGTAAGGCCTCCCAGCAGGTGGCATCCACCCAGTGTGTGCTGGACCTCCAAGTGGGTGGAGGCCCGAGGCAGTGACGAAAAGGAGGCCTGAGTCCCAGGCATGGAGGGAGGCGGGCAGGGGAGGGTGAGTTTTCTAAATAAACGTTTTTAAAGAAACCAGTTGGACAAGGCAGTTGTCCCTCTATTACCCTGTCCCTCAAAACTCTACCTGCTGTGGGGTTGGGGTCCTCTCTTTGTTCTCGGTCTCAAGTACTCCGAGAGCTCCAAAGACTCTGCGAATGCCTCTTCTTTTCTGTCTGGTCAGTCTGCCCGGGAGGAGGGGGACCTCTCAACGCATCTCCACCCTCTCCCCACATCTGCTCTCTGTGCCCTCCCGAATCCCCAACCTTCCCCACACACCCGGCCTCATTCTCTAACTGTGAGCAGGAGAAGACTCTGTGCCAGATGCCGCTGGATGATGGAGGCCAGGGGGACACACTGTCTCCCTCACAGCACTCCCCGGCCAGCCGGCCCCGTCCATGCGGCCCAGTCCTGGGGGTGCCATGTGCCAGGCCCAGAGCCAGGTATCTGAGTAACCCGAAAGCAGCTCCTAGGCTCAAGCTGGCCGGTCACCCTTGTTCACAGGAACCCCCTCCACCTCCCTCAGAAAGTGCCGACCAAGAGTTTGTGAAATGCCCTTCTCCTCGAGGCCCAGAGGCTGCACCTGCGCACTTTGAGGGGCTCAGGGAACAGGATTGTCTTTAGCTTGGGCAGAATCTGAAGCCAAGGTGCTCCTCTTCCCCTGCTCAGAGACCCCCAGGCTGAGCGCCTGCAGGCCCGCCTGCCACACACACGCCCACAATAGTGCCCAGGAGAGACCCAGGGGGGCCTGCCCGCATATAGGGCCTCTGCTGACCAGCTGGGGACCAAGCCACAGGGGTCGTTTTGCCAGGCTTCCCGTTCTGCCCCAGTAGCCACTCCCCATCTCATCCATTGGCCCTTTGGAAGGACAGTCACTGCAGGCTCCTTCCCTGGTGGCAGCCATGCTGGGGGGATGGGGAAGAAGGAGCTGGCCCCTTTCCCTGGTCAGAGCCTCCTCAGCCTGCTGGCTGGTTTGAGGTCAGGTTTCAACTCCAGACTGCTCTACCCGGTGTCTCCCCTCACCTCTGGATGATGCCAGTGTTGGGCTGTTGGATTAAACCCTGTAGACCATGGCCTGAACAAAAAGAGATGCTCCCAGCATGTGGTCACCTGGCCTCCTTGTGGCCCAGCCAAGGGAGGAGCCTGACCGGGAGGCCTCTGGAAGCAGACTGCAGTCACTGGGGCTCTCACCGACAAGGCTACTGCCCATGAATGTCCAGGATGTGGGGAGTGGGCAGAGACCCTTAATTCAGAGACTGGGAGACGGTTCCAAAGACCTTCCCTAAACACTCGCTTTCTTTCCTGTGGAGAATCTGGAATCATTTTTTAAAAATTTATTTATATTTTACACAAATGGAGCACAACTTTTCATTTTCCTGGTTGTACATGATGTAGAGTCACACCATTCGTCCAATAATACCCATGCATAGGGGTAATAACGTCCATCTCATTCCACCATCTTCCCCACCCCCCCCTCCCTGCCCCTCGGTACCCCCTGCTCATTCCAAAGTTCCTCCATTCTTTCCTTGCCCCTTCTCCTTATGGATCAGCATCCACTTATCAGAGAAATCATTCGACCTTTGGTTTTTTAGGATTGGCTTACTTTGCTTAGCATGATATTCTCCAACTCTATCCATTTACCAGTAAATGTCATGATTTCATTCTTCTTTAATGCTGAGTAATATTCCATCATGTATATATACCACAGTTTATTTATCCATTCATCTACTGAAGGGCATCTAGGTTGCTTCCACAGTTTAGCTATTATGAATTGAGCTGCTGTAAACATTGAGGTGACTGTATCACAGTAGTATGCTGATTTTAAGTCCTTTGGGTATAGCCCTAGGAGTGGGATAGCTGGATCAGAGGGTGGTTCTATTCCAAGTTTTCTAAAGATTCTCCATACTGTGGTTCCACAGTGGTTGCACCATTTGCCAGTCCCACCAGCAATGAATCAGCGTTATCTTTCCCCCGCACCCTCACCAGCACTTATTGTTGAATCTGGAATCTTAACCTTTGGTCTCCCAACAAAACAGCACACGGGGTTCCTCTCCCAGTGCAGAGACTCAGTGTGGACTGGGGTGTGCGGAGAGGAGGTTCTCTCGCATCCCATTCCTTTGGGACCTGGTTTTTTGGTGTTAACGCTCTGTCTAGCTCTTTCCCACCTCCTCTGTTTAAGGGGCAGAGCAAAGTAGCCCATCACTCCAGATGTTACGTGCACTGCACAGAGTTTATTTTTCTTTGGAACTCTGAGCCCAGCTGCCTTGACAGCTAGCCCTGCCAGGACCTGGCTTTTCAAGGGCAAGCTTCCTTCCAGTCAGAGAATGTTCTTCCCACCCCTGCTGTCCTGTGTGATTTTCCCCCAGAAACCCCCGCCAAAGGCACATGACCTGTGTCGGGCATCTTCTGAATGACACCAGGAACAGCTAGAGATGCAGAGCTCACGTGCACCGTTCCCATCACCCGGCAAGGGCTCCTCTTCCCCTTTCATTCTCCACTTTCTAATGACCCCAGAAAGTTCCACTTCTCCTTTCTGATCAGCCTGGTAGAGACGGCAGACGGCTGAGGCTAGGGCAAGTGCCAATGCTGACCTCATCTCGACACGGGGAAATTGGAGCTGCAGCAATTGAGTAGAGACTTGAACTTCCAGAGCTTTGACCTGGGCTGTTCTGTCATCCCAGCCTCCTCCTGGCGGGCCAGGTGACCCACATGCAAATGCCCTAAGGCAGACACGGTAGATGCATGGAACTCGCTGGACATAGGACAATAGGGAATGCTGGAGAGTGTGGCGACCTGAGGATGGAGTGTAGAGTTCACTCCATGGGGCCATGTGGGAATTCAGGCACAGCGGTTGCTGTTTCTTCCAATTTGTCACAAAAATCTAAATCAGAATTTCTACATGAAATATCCAAATTATTATTATTATTATTATTATTATTATTATTATTATTATTATTATTTGTTGCTGGGGATGGAGCCCAAGGTCTCACACATGCTAGGCAGGCACTGTACCCCTGAACTACAACACCCCATCCTGAAATCTCCCAATTTTAAAAATACTCTGCAAACCCACAAAATATGTGGGTGGGTCAAGCCTGCCCTTTGCAGGACCCAGGGCAAGAGTACAAATAGAGGCCACGTATCCTATCTCAATATTTAAATGTCATAAACCAAGTTTACCAAATCCTCAATAAAATACATTCTCTTGGTCAAAGATAACTTCATCTGAACCTGAAAGTCCAGCTTTGAATTGAGAACTCTTGGGTGCTGCGTTTTCTATTGACACGAGGTTATGAGGGGAGAGACAGCCCTCAGGCTGCAGTGTCCCCTCTCCCTGTCCCTCCCTTGGCTCTTCCTGGGCCTCAAGTTCATGTTTGTGGTCACATCAGACTGCAATACCAGGTTCTACCCATCTCCACCCCCACAGATAGCCATCCCTTGGCCACCTTGGGTCTGGGATGCATAAACCAGTGGCCTGACCCACCCTCAAGAAGAAGTGTCTGGGGAAGAGAGCCATAGCTCTAGGAAGGCAGGTCAGGGACAACTCAGGGGATTCTGTGTTCTGGGCTTCTGGGGCATGGTCTAGAGAGGAGACAGAGAGCTCTGGGTGGTTATGTCTTCTTGGTCCTAAGGACTCCTTGCCTCGTGGGAAGGGTGCAGCAAGAGGAGGCCAGGGCTTGTTCCCCTAGTGTCGGGAAGTCCAGAGCAGGGACTTTTTTGCATGAATTTGAAGATAGTACTGCAGAGGGCTGCCAATCTGTCACACTAGTCTAGGTCAGCAATGTCACCCGAGAAAGCCCAAGGCTACGGGAAGGCCCTGTGGAGCAAGAAATGGATGCAAAATAGCCTCCCTCATTGTCAATCAGTTGCCTTGACCTGAGGGCTTCTGGGGAATGTTGGTTTCCCCACCTGCTGTCCTTGGGGTTCACATCTGACTAGCAGCGTTAAGTCCCTGAGTGAACCCCGAAGCAAATTACCAGAAAGCCAGGTTTTCGGTCCTCAGGTTGAGAAGCGTGGGTGGGGAGAACAAGGGAGACACTCTCAACCCAGAGGTCACAGGGCTGCCGTCTGCTGGACCCACACTTACCAGCACTGCTCCTGAATGTAGCAGCTGTGGCTGTGGCTGCGGCTTTGCGGTGGAGGAGGCGAGACAGCTGAGTGTCCCAGTTCTTTTCGGGTCAGACAGGCTATCACTATCCTCTGACCTTGTCCCCTTCTCCTCCACTGGTTTCACCTATCCCAAAGCTGCTCAGGAATTCCAAAGAGAGAAAGAGGCCTAGGTAGGAAAGACTCTGTACTCTTCTATCTCTGATCGACAGGACTGGCATATCAAGAGGCAGCTGGGGACAGCAATGCTTGGCCCAAAGGAATGGGTTCCTAACGGTGGCCTCAGAAGCTTCATAGCAAGTACGTGGAGGAGGCATTTAATGGAGTTCTTGTTGGGGCCTTGTGGGAGTGAGTACCAGGGGAGTGGAAGATGGAAGGGACCAGAGACAGATCTCTCCAAAATATCTTGGTTTTTGACCAATGGATATGTAATTTGAATTAGTCCCTTTCCAGGAAAATAAAATAAAAAGCCAATCCTGGAACCAGACACTGCAGTGCACACCTGTAATCCCAGCAACGCGGGAGGCTGAGGCAGGAGGATTGCAAATTTGAGGTCAGCCTCAGCAACTGAGCAAGATCCTGTTTCAAAACAAAAAAGACAAAGGACTGGGCATGTAGCTCAGGGATTAGGTGCCCCAAAATTCAACCCCCAGTACAAACAAAACAAAACAAAATAGTAACTGATCCTGGTTTCAACAATCCACTGGTAGGCAAAGATAAGGAATCCCGCCCACCCCTGCCTTGGAAGAATTTAGTAAATATCTGTACTGCTACTCAGGTGGTTTGTCTGGCTTGCTCTAGAAGATTCCTATAGAGAGACTGCTGAGTTGGCATTGCACCTGGAAACCCAGGTTGGGAGAGGTGGCAGAGACTGATCCTTGCCCTCCCAAAGGTGACCTTTCCTTTCTCCATACTTCAGAACCCTCATTTTG